TAGATTTGTACTTAGTAGGCTAGCGACCAGGGGCTGAGTTTGCTAACATACCAGTTTTGCGCTGCCAATGACACTGTAAATCAGTACTTAGTGAAGGTAGTCCATGCATTAGTTAATCTCGGAACCACGTGTAACAATAAGAACTGATGCTCTCGCGTATTCCATCAGGAGTTAACATGCAAGCCATTGGCTGTTAGCTTTGGAAGGAAGCTAGTATGTCCTCTAGATCTAAGATTTACCAGGTCTAATTGAACATGGAATTTCTCTGGTAAGGAAGAAGGAGAAGGCCGCTGGATGGCTTAGGAAGCGAAATTTCGCGTGATGCAACCGAACAGCCTGAAGTTACTTGGAGTGCTCTGATGAACCGAATTTAATAGCGATGATGGTAGGAGAGGTTGTCGTTCATCTGAAAGCAATAAGCTAAAAAAAGGTATAACAATGCTCTCCAAGTTCTCAGCGCGGGGCGATATGATTGCAAGCCCGAGGATTTGCATAAATAAGTGTCCAATAATGCCTTGAACCGTCTTCACAAGGAGCGTGGACAACCGTCGGAGGAAGGTCATTCCACGCATCTACTACCCGAAATGAGAAAAATTTTGCCAAATGAATGTGTGTACTCTGAGCTTGAAAATTTTCTTACTGTGTCCCCCCGCGTGTTTGCTGGTTCAACGGTAAAAAACCTGTTTGCCAAGCTTTGTACAAACAGGGCATAAGTAAGAATTAGATCCCCTTGGAGGCGACGGTACTCCAGGGGAAAGAGATCGAGCACCACGAGACGTGTTTCGTGGTCCACGGATTTGAGTTCAGCAACCATTCTCGTGGCGGCTCACTGGACACGCTCAATGAGGGTTACGTCTTTCGTGCGTCCTGAGTAGACAACTTGGTTGGCGTATTCCAGGAGCGGTCTGACTTAGGCCCCATAGAGCGTTTGGATGTCCATGCGAGTAATACGGGAGAAGGTGCGCCGGATCATCCGTAAAATGCCGAATGCCTTTCGGGCCGATTTCTCATGATGCAGCGAGGAGGACAAGTTTGAGGAGGCCCAGATACCCAACTCCTTTTTGGCATCTATCCTCATGATGTTTTCCGGTCCTTTCTCACCATGTATAACAAAGGCATTCGCTGCGTCTCATCCAAACGACGTACTTTTCGTCATTCAGATGGAGATGCCAGTCCAGCGATCACTGCTTGGCAGCGTCTACATCCATTTGGAGGGCGCTGGCATTGGAACTCCAGGATTTCAAGTCGTCCGCAAAAAGTAGACATGGACTCGCGAGAAACCGCAGATACCACTGTTGGTCACTTGTGGGTTTTCCATTGCTTTTCCACAAGGTGAGCGTGAATGAATTGTTTCTGCGAGGATGTCGCATTGTATTTCTGTTTTTCCGGCAAATTCCACAATGGCTGCCGCTCTTAGTACGTTCCATTTGCGGGTTTCTGATTTAAAGCGGTTGCGCATTTCACGAAGCACCAGCTCAACACCGCTGCAAAAGGAATGCTTGATCCGACCTGCTGGAGCTCCAACCAAAGGGACTTTGGAGCGATAAAGTCACTTATCAGCACGAGAGGAGCGAAGTGCTAGCTAGAGGAGTGCTGCTCAAGGTTCCGTTTGAGGAATTGTTCATCTTCAGGGGGAGTCGAGGGAGTATGTTAAACCACATGGAGAGGGACAGAAAAGGTGCAGGAGTGGTAGGGCCGCATATAATTACAAAGCAACCTGGCCTGTCTTCCCTCGTTTTGAGTCCGCCAAAAACAGTAGCAGACCGCCGAGATTTCCGCGTCGGAGATATGTGGTGTGAGCCAGGTCTGCGTGGGTGCGATTGAGGGCGACTTTTCAAGGCAAGCTGACTGAATGACATCGCACGTTTTGTTGAAAAGGCTGAGACAGCTAATTGATAAGCACTTCGACGCTGTCTCTGCCGCGCCCGAAGATATGGATCTGAGAGTTGTGTAACCAGATAGGCTTGCAGACCTAGTAGTTGTACGTCGAGTTACAGCCAAGGCTCCGAGCGGGCTTCTGAGACATGTTCATCTGCTTCTTGTCTTGGTGGTTTCGATAGATGGTTTTCAGCTGGAAAGTTTTTTCACCTTTGGGGAACGAAAATTTCGACCATTCCTACTTGAATCCTTTCAATAAACGCCCTTTGGAAGACCA